CGATAATATAATGTATGCATTTAAATAAATCCATTATATTTTTCATAATAAAATTCGTGCGAAGGTGCACTTATTCACATTAGTCTCACAGAATAAGAAGAAAGTGGACGTAGTCTTAAACTAATCATAAAAATGACATAAAGTTGTTTAAAAAAATGAAGTCAAACACAAATACTTATTTCTTTTTTTTCCTATGACAAGAATTTCCGATAGAGACCTGTAACAGAACCGGTCGAGACTAGAATCGTAAACCGGAAGTGTTTTGGAAAAATCGAGACGTATGGTAAACAAAACTTCCAGCTTTATAATTATAAATAACTTGTAACTCTTCTAATTATTAAGAACTGTTTTGTTCGAAGATTAATTAATATTATATAAAGTATTTTTGAGCCTGTGTGTGTATAGTAAGACAAAATTCAATATAATTTAAAATAGCAAGAAAAAATGATTAAATTAAGAATATTTCTTTAAAAATTCAGATAATAAATGGATAAAAACTGGTAAAGTAAGATTGGAATTGTACAGAATAAATATTTTTCTAAAATTTAAGAGAAAAAGAAGGAAAAAATAAAGAATTGTTTTATAAATATTTAATCAAAATTAAAGTGTTATTTGTATCATTATTTAAAAAGTTTCATATTATAACGTAGAATTAGATTAAAACGTACATTATTTAATTAGGCATTATTATTTTTCGGAAAGTGTCATATGTCCGGCATAAATCATTGTCTTAGCCACTTGTTCGATGCAATTTAAAGAAGTTTACTATAATTATCATTAAAATATTATAATTTTGTCCATTATACTAATAGTAATTCACCAAATCAAAATATTTGATAAAGCAACAGACGGCTCCACGGATCATTTATTTATAATTAGAATTGTTTTTATTGTCGTTATATCACTTAATACAGCATTAAAATGTTTAAAAAAAACTACTTTAATGAAAATAGTTACATTTGATGTACTGTACAGTACTGTACATCGTTTAAGTTATAGTATATTGTTAATAAACTATTTATTCTACTCTTACTTCATTCAATATTATTTGGCTGTTTATTTTAAATGTGACAATTTAAAAATAGATTCTCTCGGATTAATTGAATATTAATGTCGTATCCTTTTAAAATTATTTGTTGATCGCTGTCGTCCTTATTTATTTTACCTCGACTTCTTCGGTTGTTCGTAGAATGTCTTTGGTTTTTCGCCAAAAATCATTTGACTTTGAGAATGTTTCGCTATTCGAATCAAATTGGGAAATTTTGGCACGTCTCGTCTCCTCATTTTTAGATGTTTAGCTACTTAGAATTTTTTTAAATTATATTTTAACAGAGAAAATTTAATTCGCGTGACTACTGATATTTTATTTGAAAAATATTGTGAAAGAAAATTAAAAATAATTGATCATAATTTGAGAATGATATATATTCTAATAGTGGATGATACTTAACCAGGTAATAATAGTCGATAATGGTTCCTTTTTTAGAAAATTTAATGCTCAATTTTTTTCTTAATAGTCTTGTTTGATATCATAAATGCGACGTGCAGATCACGAACATCATTTAATTGCGTATTTTTATAAGTCCAAGTCTATATTACAAAGACCGAATGGTATCAGATGTACTAGAATGTAAATTTAAGTTAAAAATAAAATATCAAGCTCGTCTTAAAGTCATTTTTTCTATAATTATGAGCGATAGATCCGTAATGACCGGAGTAAATGTCTTACCAGGAATTTACATTCTCTACTTTTTATGACGCTCGAATTATCAGACGACAGACTTTATTTAAACGAATTATGTTTATTAAAACTTGAAATTGTTTTATTAAATATTAATAGGCTTATTTATTTCGTGTTTAAATAATTAAGTGGCTTGGTATCTTTCAAAAAATCTAATTTATGAATACTCATAAGCCTATTACAGCGCTTACAGTTAATCGCTACTTGTTTTGTTACATTGATTCTAAGAAAAGGAATAGATTATTTTTAACCGATTCATAAGAATCTCTACCTACGAGTATAATCTATTCTAATTTTAGGTTCAACGAATTTGTCGCCATGCTTTCCAAATTAGGAAATTTAATTTCAAACGTGCTTTTATATCCGATTCGGATTTCATTATACGACGAAGTGTAGAATTTCATTTAAAACTTAATGTTTATAAATTATTTTTCAAAATTTAATCCTAATCCTACTGCGGAAAAAGTTGCGGTATGCCATTATTCCGCTAATATAGACTTTATATTTGTAAATTCGATACGCCCTTATCCCCTTTGTGTAAAGCAAAACAATTTTTTATTTTTTTTTTTTTGTCGATTTTTTTTCTTATTCTGTTTAGCTTCACCTCAGATATGCTCTGATAATCAAAAGCCGACGAACTTGCTGTAAAGTTCGTCAACGAATTGGCCAGTCAGGTTTACAGATCACAGCTCACCTTCCTGTTGCAGTTTAAACTCTGCTTTATGCTTCTGATATAAAATTTACGTTCAAAATTAGCATTTAATTAATGATTTGAATACCTACGGGCAAAGTTTAGTAGTAGTTATAATTACAGATTTTCACGAAACTGAATTTAATACGATTAATTTAAAATATGACATTTTTATTATTAATCGTTATTTTATATTGTAGCCTATTTACGCTAATTTATTTTTAATTTAATAAAAATAAATAAATTCTAGGCATTGCTTTTTATGCATAAAACTTCTCGGAGATTAAATTTCATATGCATCATAAAAAAATGAACTGCAAATATTTAAACCGTTGCAATTAATCAGTTTTGTATTTTTTATATATCGGTTGAGGAATAATTTATAAAATCTTCTTCCGATTATAATAAAACAATTAATTCTTACAGCAAGTGTTAAGTTTACATTAAATTCTTATACTAATAGATGTAAACTAGCTCGTTTGTGAAAAATAGCCAAAATTAACTGTATAATTCTAGAAATTCGGATAGGATATAGGCCTACACTTTTATTTTATGTAAACATGAATAGTGAGCAAACATACTGACTTTACTGAAAATTTAGGTCATTATCTAACATCGGGAAAATTATAAAATTATAAATTTAAACCCGTAAAAATAATTTTAATTAGATTAACGTAAAATGAAACTGTTGTTAGCGCTCGATGCATACGAACAGAAGGAACAGGTAAGGACAGATAAGAAAGCGATCTAAATACAAGTTTAGCTAATGTTAGCCTAATCAATTTTTAATTATAACGATAAATCTATCATGTAGAAGTGTTTTTAAACAAAATCATTAATTACAACTATTATAAACATTATGCTATATCCAGAAGTCATCAGCAAAAGTTTGGTTTGTATCATAATATTCTCTTACAGATGTTGCCTCGGTGTCATTAATGAAACGCAAAACATTTACAAATTATCGACGTAGAACATCTATTTTCGTTCAAAATATACAATAAAATAGGATAACAATTAAATCATTCTTTCTTCTAATTGGTCATGAGGTGGCTTTTCTTATTTAGAACTTCCTACTAGATTTGTGACAACGGGTCAACGATAAGATCTGATATATTACTCGCTTCTTAAATTATTTTTTAAAAGAATCAATTCGTGTCTTTGTAACTCCGGATACGAATCGTTATGCCGTAGAAAAAGCATTCATAAATAACAACTAGACTATCAGGAATACCCGCTTTCGTGTCTCTATTAAAGGTTGATGGGAACTCATTTTATCTTACTTCTATCTATAGTAAAAGAGGAAGCGGTACTATTATTAAAGTTATTTAGTACATTACTTTAATTAACACTCATATTTTTTACTTTGTCAAAAATAATGGAGATAATCGGAATATAAATGTCCTCTTAATTAATCTGTGTCTTTATCGAACCAACACGAAAGTGACTGTTTGAACAAGGAAATACTGTAGATTTTAAATAAAAATATAAATATTAAATCAGTCGATAAATTTTGTCTTTATCTCAAATTAAAGATAAAAAATTTAAGAATTAGGCAAATTATAAATGTTCAGTTTATTCTAAACATCTTAGGAAAGATTCGTGTAAATGATGCTACGCTAGAAGGCAGCTGAGCTTTACTCCTACGGACACAGAAACTACGTTAAAAAATTGTTTTCGTTTTTTTTTTTAAATACATTGGAAATTGAAACCCTTCTTTCAATAAAAATATCAATATTAATCAGCCAGATAATAAATAAATAAATAATTTTTTTTTTCATTTGTGAATGTAACCGAATTCCTTTTTTTTATTAGACACGATTCATTAATGTTAAGTTAGATNTTAATTCAGGAAATTACATCTGGTTAAACAAATATTAGATTTGTGAAATTAAAAATAAATTTTATAATAAAACAACTATTTTATTCGATGAATTTTGCGAAAATTTTGCTCTGGAAGCAATAGAACTTCAATGACTTTTTAAAAATTGTTCAAGTATATCATTCGAAAAGCAATTTTATATCTTCGGAAAATCTTCCATTTTCTGTCCATTCGAAAACCAATCTTCATTATTTTTTCATAAATTCCTTTTGAATTTTAGAATTTTCCTGTATATTGAGTTTTATAATATATTATATAAGGTTAATATAAACATCTAAATTATATAATAACTCATTTCAATACAAAAAAGACCGGAAAAGACGTGCTCTCAGTTAGAAAATGCTAAGAATTTACACGGTTTGTCTATCGAGACTTTTGCAAAGATGTTATGAGTTATCGATTTTTTTTTATTACTAAACACGGTACTAAAAATTTAATTTGCTACCTTTAAATTCGTCGAACTAAACTAGTTAAAACGAAGCTGTTTTGTAATTATAGTTTGAAATTAGGTTTACACGTGATAGAGTTCGTAACGTGTAAATTTAATTATAAACGAATATTGAATTTCCAAAATTGAAGTGCGAAAGGAAAACTGGAATTGATGAACTGTAATTAATTGCTGCATTATTGTCAATCGTGCGAAAATAACGCGTTATTTTAACGTTATTACATTAGTAAGAAGAACCTTCTGGTTTATAGGCCTACTATATCGGTTGTTACTTGCATTGCGTCCCTTTTGTAGTAATAACAAACCAAAGATGAATACTACAAACCTAAAAGTATGCGAACATCAATGCTTAGAAGAGTGTGATCCGTACTAATAAACTATATTTGTAATTATTATTTCTAAAATATAACTAATTATCTACTCTACAACTATTATAATTAGTTAATTATTAATTAGAAATATAAATTTTCTAATTACAGTCCTAAACGGGACAAGAAGTTTCCGAAATTTTATGCGAATCACTAACAAAGTTGAAGGAAAAGTTGTTATTAGACTATATTTGTCCAAGAGAATTACTTATTAAAAGAAAGAAAAGTAAGTAAAAAATTTTTTTAATTTATGGATTAAATTAATGAATAAGGACTCTTTTTTTTTATTTTAAAGAGAGTTAAACTTAAAAAGTTGAGAGTTAAACTTAAAAAGTTGGTCGTATCGCGCAAGTTTACTTTCCAGATGTTTTTGTTCCCAACGCATAAAAACATCAGAGTGGAGACCGGATGGTGATGAAACAGATAGGTCCATAATGACGATTTCCAAGATAACTTACGCATTTCGAGAATTCTTTCATAAAAATAAAACACGAATTGTAATTTCTAGTCTTTCAAATGGTGAAAACTTTCCAATTTCTTAAAAGCATCAGGAAAAATTACATTAACTTAAATGCTCTTTTATGTTATAAATTTCTTTTGTATTGTTTAGATTGCTGTTTTATCAATTATAATAATAGATACATTCTTGTACAGTAGTTAAATAAACTATTACTAATTAAAAACTTATTATAATAGGCCCTACTGATCTAGTTTATTTAACTATATGAACTATTTTATTCCTAAGATATTCAAGGGTATAAAGTCAAGTAGATCTATAGACACAAACCAAAAAAAAAGAGGAGAAATTTTTCGTTTGTAAACCTTTTGAATCGGAGGTATTGTCTTTAATTAAAAATTTCTAACCTAATATTAAATATATTTATGATTCAAAATGATAATAAATTCGTATTAATATCAATAATCGAGCGTCTTTAGATGTAACCTGTAATATAGGACTAAATTTAAATTTTTTACATCTCGTTAAGATCCATTAAAATTCTTCACAATTGAAACTGCGAGTATCGTAATCGGAATGAATCTTACATGTTGTTAATCATAATGTTGACTGAACCTCTATCAATTTATAATTAACATTTTGATTGGGACCTGTTATCATTGCTGTCCGGTTTTATCTTCGCTTCACATCTTATCATTTGAATAGGTTAATATGCTTATTGAGAATATAATTGTTAAGAAGTTACATACAAAATCCTTTTTTCTTTTTCTTTGTTGTTTTCTTTACATAAAAAGTTCGATAACTGTTCATATATGAATATGGATTAGCCTATATGATTTGTCAAAAATATAACATATTCAACATTAATTTTTGTATAGTTCTAATCAAATAGGGAAGAATAAGCGTGACGGAAATACGGATGAGTAGTGGACCTATGTGTGATGCATTAGTCTAACTAAATAGGATAAAATGGTGACAATTTATTTTCACTCAAAATATTTTAAATGTATAAGTATCGATTGAAGAAAGACAAGAACAGAGTTTCACGCGGGCTCCAAATATGTATAGGGTTTTTTTCTATTAATGATAGTTTGATCGCGCACCCATTCGTTCCGGACCCTGGAGCAAATATCCCAAATGTCCCCCTTATTTATGACCTATACTTATAGGTTTGCCTATAGGTCTAGCTACTTTTTTGACTATTTTTTTTTCAATAATTGAGAAATTTTAAACTAAATAACGAGTAGACTAACGAAATAAGTAATCCTTACGATAGATTTATCAACCTATCGCTTATAATTTTTTANTTCTACTTTTCTAAGCGAAATTTTTTGAGATCCTCTCTACTTCTTTATAATTGTCTAGCGTTAACGACTAATTCGCTTTTTAATAAAGTACACAAATAACACCCCCCTAGTGTTTGCAAACTTTAAAAGGGAGAGACGGGCTTGTGTTATTGTTAACAGAAGGAAGAGACGTTGCCAGAATGCTCGTTAGCCGGTATACATAATGCAAATCCTGTTGTTTTGGTGGTAGTGATTGATTGATGCTTTAGGCGTATTAAACCGTGCTGGGCAAAGCCACTTACACCCTGATAACAGGTTGTCTTTCCAGTCCCGACGATGCGAGTGGCAAACGTTGTTCTAATCATTTTAGGTGATCTGCTTTCTAAGAAACGAATCATTTTATTTTAAAATGATAATTATCGACCCGACTCTTATTTGTATCTGTTAATTTATTTCTGGTATTTTTAGCTCCAATCCCTCTGTTTAAATTGTAAATTAAGGAAGGAATTTTCAGACAAAAATGGCTATCGGCCAATGATTATAATGCTAAATAAAATATATCAAATTTATATAAATTACCATTTTAAAAACAGAATATAAAACTTTATTTAACTTCCGCTTTTCATTCAATTTAGGCTATATATAAAATAAAATTTAAAAAAAAATAAATAGTCGAACGTGTTTAAAATGTATAGATAAGCATATATTGACAGTTTTTAGGTTAATATAAATGTATTATAAATATTAAAATTAATATTTAAATCACGATCTGTCAATTTACGGTTTGTTTCGATGGAATTTTAGGCTATTAAAATAATTGTATAACAATTATAAAACTACTATTATATAATTTATTTTTCTTTTTTATAATGTTTTACTTTTCTATTTAATTTTTTGTAATAGAATATTTTTTAAGTCTTAACTTCAAATTTAATTAGGCTATTTCAATATTATTAATCGAATGAGGTATTTAATTAGTCAAAATTGACGAGAGTAAGTTTGTCATATACACATATTTTCAGGAAAACATGTACTCGTGTAAGCTTATTATTATTATAGACGGCAGAGCAGACTATTTCCCTGTGGAGAGACAGGAAGTAGATTCATGTGAGAGTGAAGACATCATCCGTTACTTGTCAACTCACATGATGACAAACGACACGTGCAAACTTCGAAGAGTAGTCTGTTTGGCGAGCCAATTGAAAGATATCTCGCTTTTAACAGTTTTTTTTCTCTTTCTTATTCTTTTTTCCTTTTTATTTTATCGAGCCATGCCCTTTTATCAACAGAAAGAAAACATAGCAAAGATTTTTTTCTGTGTTGTTGTTGTCAACGGTGGATGATTTCTTGATTTAATTAATGTCACAGATCATCCAGACGTCGACCGCAGAATTTTTTTTAATGCGCCATTATTAATTTTTACAAGAAAAAAATAGTGAAATAGTAAGGATCAAACTCAAAAATAATTTTAATTTTACTTATATTTTAAATTTTACAATTACTTGTATTTCGAAGATGGAAGTTATCAGATAAAAGGATTCGGATCCTCCTAGACTTATTCTAAATCTAGTCTTAATTTTAAGGAAAGGGAGATGAAATGTTTAAACTGAGAAACATCTGTTCTACTCGCATCTAATGAAAAAAAGTTCGATCGATTCGGCAAATCGCAGTGAATTCTGGGACGTAGACAATATAAAATAGTCTATAAAAATGACGGAGAAATATACTGGTTATTTCTTTACTGCCACAAAATAAAGTTTATTAGCTATTTAGGGTATCACATTCGGTGTGGAGTTTAATCCCGTTAAGAATTAGAAATTTTAATTTTTATACGATTCTAATCAAATTATATACGATAAATTTCTAAACTCGTTTCAACTCAGTTAAATTAATTAAAATTTTTAAAATCTTACTTGCTTCTTAGCACTTAGAAAAACAGAATTTTATAGTTTAATTAATAACACTTTAATGTTTTCCGAATGGCAATGAACCTTTATGTAAGCCTTTTAGATATTTTTCAAATAAATTTATAACCTTAACGACAATAGAAGTTCGGTCTCGAATCTCTCTTCTCTTCGAGTGTAAATGAAACTGTCCGAATTTTTTTTTCTCTTACCTTCTTGTTTTCCTCAATTCTCTTAGTTTACTGTATGGCGTTTATATTTAGTTCAATCCGTTGAAATTGAATCACTGTTGATGTAATCCTACAGATACTTAAACTGGACAAGCACAAAATAGCTTGTGTAATGTAGGAAAATTGACAGATTTAAAGTCTATTTTCTGATAATTAAATACCAAAATTTTTCTGTCCTGTATTATTAATAATAAAATTTACAAAAAAAAAAACAAATAGAATTCGCCATTTTAATTATTTACCAGGAAGAAGTCGAGTCGAGGAAGTCTCATCGGCAAAAACAGATGCCGGTAACGACAGGAATTCTACGAGAATCTCGGGTCGATACGAGAAGCGACGAGGTCGAAAGAAATTTTGTGTAGTCGTGCATCGTCACCACTACGCGTAATTACTAAAAACGGTTCTCTTAACGAGGAAACTTCACACGAATCAAATTAAAGCGATGCTCCGTTGCTTAACGCTCTTCTACTTTTCTAAGCGAAATTTTTTGAGATCCTCTCTACTTCTTTATAATTGTCTAGCGTTAACGACTAATTCGCTTTTTAATAAAGTACACAAATAACACCCCCCTAGTGTTTGCAAACTTTAAAAGGGAGAGACGGGCTTGTGTTATTGTTAACAGAAGGAAGAGACGTTGCCAGAATGCTCGTTAGCCGGTATACATAATGCAAATCCTGTTGTTTTGGTGGTAGTGATTGATTGATGCTTTAGGCGTATTAAACCGTGCTGGGCAAAGCCACTTACACCCTGATAACAGGTTGTCTTTCCAGTCCCGACGATGCGAGTGGCAAACGTTGTTCTAATCATTTTAGGTGATCTGCTTTCTAAGAAACGAATCATTTTATTTTAAAATGATAATTATCGACCCGACTCTTATTTGTATCTGTTAATTTATTTCTGGTATTTTTAGCTCCAATCCCTCTGTTTAAATTGTAAATTAAGGAAGGAATTTTCAGACAAAAATGGCTATCGGCCAATGATTATAATGCTAAATAAAATATATCAAATTTATATAAATTACCATTTTAAAAACAGAATATAAAACTTTATTTAACTTCCGCTTTTCATTCAATTTAGGCTATATATAAAATAAAATTTAAAAAAAAATAAATAGTCGAACGTGTTTAAAATGTATAGATAAGCATATATTGACAGTTTTTAGGTTAATATAAATGTATTATAAATATTAAAATTAATATTTAAATCACGATCTGTCAATTTACGGTTTGTTTCGATGGAATTTTAGGCTATTAAAATAATTGTATAACAATTATAAAACTACTATTATATAATTTATTTTTCTTTTTTATAATGTTTTACTTTTCTATTTAATTTTTTGTAATAGAATATTTTTTAAGTCTTAACTTCAAATTTAATTAGGCTATTTCAATATTATTAATCGAATGAGGTATTTAATTAGTCAAAATTGACGAGAGTAAGTTTGTCATATACACATATTTTCAGGAAAACATGTACTCGTGTAAGCTTATTATTATTATAGACGGCAGAGCAGACTATTTCCCTGTGGAGAGACAGGAAGTAGATTCATGTGAGAGTGAAGACATCATCCGTTACTTGTCAACTCACATGATGACAAACGACACGTGCAAACTTCGAAGAGTAGTCTGTTTGGCGAGCCAATTGAAAGATATCTCGCTTTTAACAGTTTTTTTTCTCTTTCTTATTCTTT